CCTGTAGATTTCTCTCTTAGCTCGTTGTCTGCCTCCTCCTTGCTTTGGAATGCAAGCTCCGTGGGGTCAGGGTGCCCCTTTGTCTTATTGCCGCAGCCCTGCCAGACGGTGCTCAGGCAGGGCAGCCAGGTCCAGGTTCCAGCACAGAGCCCTCGCTTTCCTGTGGATTTGCTTCCGTGGGCCCCTGCAGCGCTTAGGCCGGATGCTGAGATTGGGTTGTCCTGTGGGCTGTCCACAGCGTGGCAGCTTGCTCCAGAGGACAGAGAGGCTCGTGTTCACTCGGAGAGCGCAGGCCGAGGGCCAGCTGCCTTCCGCACCACTGCAGGGCCACGGTGACCATTTACTCTACTCGACAGCCATGGCTGGTGGGTGGTACCTTCTTTGGGTCTTGAAATCTTTTGCGACTCAGATAAACATAATGGGCGCTGCTCTGAGCAGGATGCAAAGTTGCACACACCACCAGCCTGCAGATGCCATTGCCAGGAGCGAACAGAGCCGGGAAGGGTCCCTGCCCTGACAGAATGCAAGGCTCCTGCCGGGGGTCCCTGAACTGCCCAGGCTGGCCAGCAAAGGGCCTGATCAGGGAGGGCGCAGAGGAGGCTGGACAGAAGAAAAGGCAGGGCAAGGGCACTGGGGTGGGGGCGGAGGTGGGGCAGGAAGGAAGGATTCGGGGTGGGGGTGTGAAGGAACCCAGTGGAAGCTCAGAGAAGAGCTGAAAGGGAAAGGGGCGAGTCCTTGGGCGAGGTCTAAGGCCGGCCACTGCCTCGGCTGGTCTCCGTCCAAACACCGGTCCTGACCTCTGGGCAGAGGAGAACTTCCCCCCGAGAGTAGAGAGTTCTAGAAACCGAGAAGCCAATTCAAACATAGCCACAAACACACAGGGGTGAGTGTCTGCTCGGAGCCTGGGGGGCACACGGCAGGGAGTTTATTCGGGCCTGTGTGCCCCGGGCCCTGCACACATCGCCGCCCCCTCGCCGTCCCGTCAAGAAGAGGAGAGTGCGAGCTCCTGAGGGTCCGGTGGCCCCTGGAAGGGGGTCCTCAGAGGAAAGGACATCCCGACAGAGGCCGGCATGGGGCGGGGCCTGAGGGCGTCAGACTGAGGTCCCTGAGAACCACTCTGCTAGTTGGACAAATTTTGATGCAACTATGTCCTTAAACATAGTTCTGTGGACTGCGTTTATTATTGGTGAGAAAGGCAGTGTGACTGCTGGGCCAGCCATTCTCTCAGCACGCACTCGTCACACACCTGTTAGAATCAGAGCCCCTGCGAGACAGGCGACACACACAGGGGCCGACTCACCCATGGCCACCGCCCGCAGGTATGGAAACCCCTTGTGCGTTTCTCCTCGGAGTCGATGCAAAAAGGAGATTCTAATCTTAATTCTGTTTCACCTAGGGTAGTTTGTTCCTTAACTCCCTCCATTCTCTGTAATGTATTAAAAGCAGGAGAGGTTTAAATTCATACTTTGTCAGGTAGCTCAACTTCTAGGAACTTTGGTTTCTCCATCTGCAAAGTAGAGATTATAACCTCACAAGGAAGTTGTTAAAAGAAAGTGTCAAATTGTGAGAAGTTGGTGGTAATGTGCACACAGGTTGAAACATAATCAACGCCCAGCAAGTTGTATCCATAGCGCCACTGGCATTCCGCCAATGCTGCCCTTCCCACCACGCCTGCATCCCTCTTCTATCCTCCCTTTTCTCCTGCCACCTTCCTCCTTCATCTTCCTTATTCCATCTTCAGCAAAGGTTCTGTGTTGGGCAGCCAGGTACTTCTTCCTAAAACACACCTTTCTCCTAGCCTGCTTAAGACAAGCCAGCCACTCCCTCAGTGGCTCCCGGTGTTCACCACATAAAAGCACGATGCTGCTGTTCCAGGTCCTCCCGTCTCACCTTTCTCGTCACTTCCATGGTGCCTGGAGAGATAGTCTGTCCTCCTGTCAAATTCATTAGCGCCCGCTTTCGGATCCAGTTCATCCTTCAGTCCTCCCTCAGAGTCTGCGTCTTGTCCCTCTAACTGGGTCACCCCTTCCCATCCCATAACGGACACTGAAGGCCTAGTGTCCCTTCCATAGCATTTATGAGGCATTGAAACCTACTTTGGTAACATTATAGAGTAATAATTAAAGGCATAGGCATTGAGGCCAGACAACTATGGTGATTAATTCATAAAGAACCTTAAAAATAACACAGAATCATTGTAAAGCACCCGATAAAAACCAGCTTTCCTTGGTATCATTGTGTGTGTTTCTTATTTCTCTACTAAAATGTTCCTCCATGACAATGACCTTCTCGTGTGGGTCGTACCCTTCACCTGAGAACTACTGTTAGATTTCCAGGTAGAAGTACTTGCTCCCCAACCGATTTCGTACAGGCTCTGCTTTACTTGTTTTTATGTTGTAAGAGGTGAGAATTTCCTCTTTGTAAGAAATACGCTGATCACCATGATTAATGTGTGATTTCAGGATATAGTTTTGTACTCAACTCTTTATTAGTGTTGATTAAAAAAACTCACCTGTTTACAAGTCAGGGTATGGATGTGAATGAACAGTTGTTATGAATATCACATCAGAATTACAATGAATACCCCACTGCATGCCTTCATGCCAATAAGCTCCAACTCACTTGTTAAGAACTGTTTTGAAATCCTTTCATATATGCCCCTTTTCTTGCCAAACCTGTTTTTCATAATGATTGGAAGAAGGTTGGGCTGCTGAAAAGAATACATTTTATCTGAGGATCTCAAAGCACCTGGCAAGTTCCCTCCATTTTGTGGACTGGGGAGTGCAAAGTTCGCAGCAGTTCCCTCATTTTCCCAGGCAGCCCTGCCATCCAGGAAGAGAGCTGGCAGAGTAGATTGTCTTCCAGAAATATTCCGGTAATTCGTCTTATGACTGTTGTGGCTGCGTAGCAGTCAGAATCCCCCTCTCACCTTGCCTGATGAAAAGATGGGGGGCAATATCATGGCCTACCTGGAGCAATGGGATTGGACTTGACTATGGATTTCTTATTAGCTTTTTTTATCTGATCCTATTTTTTTTTCATTCTTTTTTACCCATTTTCAATTGAAGACATCTTGTTTGCATAGACTTAAACACCTTAAGTCTTTTCAAACAAGAGGGGCGATGTGTACAAAGCTAATTTTTACATGGTTCCCATATTTTTGGAGGCCGAGGCAGGCTGCATAGCTGAAACACTGGGCTTCGGGAAAGAGCCACACTTGGGTTTGAATTCCAGCTTTGACACTTTGGACCAGTTATTTAACCTTTCTGAGTTCCCGCTCTGTAAAATGGAAATAAAGCTCCATAACTCACAGAGATGTCTTGGGGATTAAATAAAATAACTTGTGTAAATTACTTGGTGCATAGTAGGCATTCAATAAATGTCAGTTCCCTTTTTATCCCGTTAATAATGCTTATTAGACTATATTAAAAACTAGAACCAGACTGTGATAATGCATTTCTTTATTACGTATTTAAGCCAAATAACTAATTTCCCTCAGGGGGAAGGGAGAGATATGCTGAATTAGTTTCATTTTGTGAACTCACTTATTAGTCTTTTTTTTTCTTTAGCATTATTTAGTTTCATACTCTGTAATTTAGTTTTCATGCAACAAAAAAGTCACAGCTCCTATTCCTTAACTCTACTGCGATTAAAAACCATCTATTATTACACTGGCCACTTATTCAAAATCATTATTAATGATATTAACAGCTCGACTGTGTTTCATAAGGGCTCCGTGCTGACGGACTTTTGCCCTCAACAGCTTCCCTGAGGTCTGAGGACTTGAGAGGATCAAGTTTTAAATGGCAACCTTACAGCAAAGGAAGACGGGGATGGGGAGACCCTCCCGGGCTGTGTGCTTTCCTGTTAGTTCTATCCGCTTGCATTTAAGTGCAGCCACGTTTTCTCAAGGACAGGACCTCAGAGAGGCAGGCAAGCCCAGGAGGAGCTGGCTAAGGAGCGGGGACCATTGCACCTTTAAGGACCCAGTCTCAGCTCGGCCTCCTCCCCGGCCCACCTCTGAACCCTGATTGACAGGGCGCCGGGGAGGAGCCCAAGGAGGCCCCGGAGGAGGCACGGCAGGAAAGTAGGGAGGAGGGACCGTCTTCCCTCCGGTGGCCAATCGCAGAAGGGGGCGTGGCACGCCTTCTCTCAAAGGGCCAATCAGCACAGGGGGCGTGGCTCCTGCATCTCCTCCCTCTCACTGTCCTCCGCCTCCTCCTCCGCCCCTCCCCCTTCGCGGCCCCCCTTCCC